CAGGGACCTTCCAGAGACACTTGCATTTATATTTTATTTCTAAAATCATGTGAACCACTGTTACTGCACATAGAGACCATTCAGCAAATTTTTGTGACTTGTCAAAGTAATGTTGCAGACTTTTTACATTTACCACAGTAAAGTGCGTGACTACTTATGGCAGTCAAAACTATTCAATTTGAACATTTAAGTCCTTATTGAAAATACCCTCCTCTCGCATTGGCGTACATGAGGAGACAGGCTTCAAACTGTCTTAATAAAAAGATGCATTTTAGTTGCTTAACTGAAGACAAAATGGAAGACGCCAATAAAAACAGGTCCTTTTAGTGGATAGGAAACAGGAGTATCCTTTGAGGGAGAAGACCCTACCAACTTCAGAAATAACCCCAAAATTTTAAAAAGGCAAATTCTCCTTTTCTCTTTGGAAAAACTGACTTCCCGTGAAATAGACCTCTAAGGGCTAAGAAAGCTTCTACTGTCACCCCAGTCTAAATGGGATCTTACCATCCCTGTGTTCTGATCAAGCAGCCTCTTTCAATCTAGATTACACCCAAACAGACTCTCTTGTAACAAAAACCAGGAATTTACATAACTGTCCCTTCCTGAAGTGACCCAAAGCAAATGATCTAAACTATATTTAAAATATCTAATTTCAAATATCTGAAACTATTTAGAGTTCACGTACAACACATCACTGCACAGATAATACTGCCTTTGCTAACAGTAGAAAATTGGGGGAAAAAGCCACCAGTGAAAGAACTGATTTAATCAAATTAACCAAATTAAACTATTTTTCTCCTCCCCATCAACCAATATTGAGTGTGTACCCAACCAAAGGTACAGCAAATCCGAGTTATGGGCACTCCTGCCCTATATGATAATTACTTTGGAGCTCAACCTTCACATATGTAATGTGGGAAAAAAACCCTTTCTGTCCAAATGAGTACTGTATTTCCAAATATTCTTAAGTTTTAAAAGAAAAAAGCTGACTTTGTCTTTAAAAAGCATATTTCCTGAAATGCCACAAAAACACACACGAAAGGGTGTGCTCATTTTATGCCCTGGAGTGGTTCAGTGACATTTTCTGTGATCTACAGTATTTTATTCTTCATTTTCCATATCTATCTTCCCTTTAAATTTCTTTTTTTCTACATTTCATGTAAAAAAAAATATCTGTTTAAGTTGCTGCAGGAATAGATTGTTTTTTTCTCCCAATAACATGCTCTATCTCGCTTATTTGTATCTTCTTGTTATGCTTGTATGTTCTGCTGTTTAGGCCTTTCTGTTCCATGCCTGCATTCACTGTCCAGGTTTTACAAACATGTCAAAACAGACACTGATAAAAGATTTTCCAAAATAAAAAAAAACATTGAATGGTCGATTTATCTTTCATGATATTTCAGAATTTGGAATCCTCAAATGTGTGTTTTTCCTAGTCTTGCCTCAGGACTATGTCCAAGAAGAAGGATGCAGACTCTGACTGGCCCAGCTTTTAAATATTTTAACCATAGCCACACATCACGCTGCCCAGACTCCTGACTGAAGGCTCAATGCCAAATGGATGAGAGAAACATCCTTTGCCAACAGCCCCACCAACTTGCAAATGTCCAGGAGGCCATAGGGATTACTGAGAGCAAACTAATCAGCCCCTACCCTGAGTGTTGAAGTAAGTTCAACTGGCTGTCACCTCCACTTGGGGAATCACTAGTTGACATGGCCCAAATCAGACAAATCTAGCTGTGCTCAAGCCAGTACCTTTACTGGCTGAGCACTCAGGATCTAAACATATTTTCATTTAAGGCACAAATGCATTATTTCTTTTCATACTAAATCTTCCAGAAGCATCCCTGCCCAGATTTTAGCTTTGAGCTCAGACGTCTGATAATATTAACTAACACCAAAAAAATAAATATTTATCTTTTCTAGATTAATACCTACTTTCTACAATGTCCTTGGGGAAAAGCATATTCATGAAATATCACTCCAATTCTTGAAGTTGATTGCCAACCTGTTTTAATTGTAGCTTGCACATCTAGAGCTCACACTTGTAAATCTTTGGGGGTACAAATTAAGCATCTTAAGCAAATTAAGCAAACATACTGTATGTGATTTAAGTAGGTTACATTATTCTTCAGAAATTTTTCTATGTTGAAACGCATGTTTTAATCACATTTATTCTACTTTATAATGCTTCTGATTTTTTTAGGCTTATTAGGTGTGGATATAATTCTAAAAGTTTAATGATGTGGCCTCACAATTTTCCTACCTCATCTCCAGTGTGATGCAGTTATGATATAGCTAATTCTAAATGTATTTTTTTACTTGCAATATATAAGGGATGTTTGCCATTTTGAAATTGATACAGTTCCAAGTTGATCAGGATGGAACAAGAAGGTTTCAAGATGGAATTGCATTGTGTCATATTATTCTTGTGTAGAATTCCTTGGTTGGTAGACTCTATAACCTCTAATTTCTAGGTCTTCTATGTTTTCCAGTTTCAAAAGCTGTGAGACATCTGGAAAATGGGTGTTGGACCGACTGTTCTCTGAATATACTGGTGTTATTGATGCCCAAACATTTCAGACATACTGTATAGAGTCCCAGTGTCCAGCATTTGTGATTTCTGGTATACTTCACTTGTTTTAATTTACTGTGATCCATTTTCCTTAAATAAATTATCACTGCAAGAAAACCTCAGCTTATTTGTCAGTTCCATTGTCATACGGCCTTCTAATGATCTGAATTCCTCCACAGATATTCTTTAACACCATTTGAAAGCCTGGTATATTCATAGTGATCTATTCCAAATATGTTTTTGGAAGGTATGTTACATTTTGCATGTATTCTCAGTCATATTTATAAGCCTCTATAGATGAGGATATTATTTTTTAAAGAATTGTATACATTATGGTGCATATACAGTATATCAAAGTGTGTATAAAACAAATGAATACTAACTGCAGGTTAAATAGAACTTAATGTATTTAAAATGAAATACAATTATTTAACTTGAGTTATAGTGCCCTCTGTGCTATTCATCCAATTTTAAATATTAAAGTAACACAATCAAACAAATGAGAACATTCCTCGTGTGTGCTTACATCAAGGGCAAATATCTAATAATTATCTAGATGATCATTACATCTGGTTGCCAGAAGAAACTGACTTATGTACAGTATATTGTACTGTCGCATGGATCGTGGACTGTTAGATATTTCAGTGCAAAGATAAGAGCAAGCAGAATACAGATACCAGCTTTGAAGATCTGCTGGCATCCTTCCATTTTTTTAATCGTTCTTAGTTGCTTAGTACCCTGCTGACTAATGTCTTTTGAGGGCTGGAACCCATTTTATTAGAGTGCTAACTAACTAAAAGGGGTTTTGAAAAATATTACATCACTGCATGTGGATACAACTGTCTGTTACTTAATAATAATAATAATAATAGCTTACACTTATATAGCGCTTTACAGGTAATGGGGACTCCCCTCCACTACCACCAATGTGCAGTGCCACTTGGATGATGCGACGGCAACCATAGTGCGCCAGTACGCTCACCACACATCAGCTATCAGTGGGAGGAGAGCAGAGTGATGAAGCCAGTTCATAGATGGGGATTATTAGGAGGCCATGATTGGTAAGGGCCAATGGAAAATTTTGCCAGGATTATATTTGCCTATAATTTTCCCTTTCATTGTTTGTAGTGTGCAAACAACCAGGAAAACAGTCCCCTGCTCCAATTGTCTTGGTGTCGGCTTCCTTTCATGTCTACGAGCCTGCTATCTTCCTAATGTCACTTCCAATGGCAAAGTAAAACCCCTTTCTCCAAACCGTGTTGCTCTGAAAGCACATAGGTGGTGTTTCTCCAACTGCGGTGAGAAACATCAGGCACATCCACTACTCTCCAAATTGGTCAGGATGTGAAGAACAACAAAAGAACAACAGTATTCCATGTGACTCACGCAGCTGAGGCAAAATACAGTATGTGAACAAAGGGTGGCCATATGACCCGTTTCTAAAGGGGCATGTCTGCATTTAAGACATAACATGGGTGTCCTCACATTTTCCTGGGAAAAGAAGCATCAAATTGTCCCATATTTTCCCATACCTAATATCTGTTGCTTCTCACACAAAACATAACGTGAGTTCGACAAATGGCTGATGATTCAGATGAACGGTGCAAGTAATGAGTATTAGAAAGAGAAGGTAGATTTTCTACTGTGGAATACTGTGTTAAAATCGAATCTCATTCTGCTCACAATCACATATGCGCTGAGCAACCACTTACTTACATACTGTGCTAGTCAAAGGCATTGCAAACCTGCAAGATGCCACAAAAGCCAGCCGGCTCTTTCAATGGGAATCTTCAAGATCAATTTAGGTTTCTGAAAGAAGACGCTTCAGCTGCTGACAAGAGTAATGTCAGATGAGTGGAAGACACTGCCGACTGACAGCCGAAGTGAAATTTCTCAGCACGTTTAGATAAAAAAAAACAACAATGACGCTGAAGCAAGAGTACAGGCCTAAGTGTTTACATTTTTTGTGAAGCAGGAAAGAATATCACTGCCTCACGTGAAAATGAGATACTGATAGCTTACAGTCTGTGCGTTAAGATACTTAACACTGGATTTTACCAACATGAATTTTCACCTGCATGGCAAAAATCAGAGAATCATTCGCGGTGTACTGGTGTCCCTGTTAACTCAAGAACCTCGTGATTTAGAAGAGTTTTCATTTATGATCATGTAGGAAACAGGATAGTCTCCCGTTTCTCTTAATGGAGATGGGGTGGAGGGGTCAGTTAGTGGTGGGACCAAGATCCTACCCTAACCTTCACCGATGGTCACTCTCGTGACATATAACGTTGTATTTTTAGGAACACTGTAATTTGCTCTCTAATCCTCTGCACCACCAAGCTCCCTATCAGGGGGGGGTTTTCTACAAAGATCAGTGCCTGCCAGATGTTACTGAGGAGCCAGAAAGAGCACTCATGTGCCATACCTGATGTTGATAAAAGAGCTGGTGGTGAGATGGATCCTCTCAGCCAGGGTTTCCAGCAGTCTTACACCATCGAACAGACTCAGGGGCCTGGCAAGACAAAGATGGGCTTAGAGTAGGCATCACATGGATATAAAAGCATCCGAAAAGTTATAGCGAAAGGAAGCCATTCAACCCACTGAACTTGGGATGGGTTGCTAGTAGCCAATCTGACCCAAGGATTTCATCCTGCTGTTTAATAACATGTCTGACTTGTTTCAGACTCCCTCAGCGCTTAAAGAAGTGCCTCAAGTGGTCTCATTTTTAAATTCACATCCCTGCAGGTTTTACATGTTTCCCCTGGTCTAGGTTTGTTCATTTTAAAGCCCAAGGGTGTGATGTTCTCAATGCAAATACACACAGCATGGGAAACCTGCGCTGGGGTTGGAGAAATTTCTTCCCTTTTAACCAGACACATGGAACTCAAAAAGTCATCATCTACATCTGTGGAAATATTTATATAATTAAATAATGTGATGCACTGTAACAAGATTCTAAACTTTAGGCACTTATTTCCCATTGAGAGAAGGGTTATTGTTATTCAACATACAGTACAGCACTCCATTCCTAAATTCTGTTTGACACCTTCTCATTTTTATGTAAATATAACTTCTAGTTTCATATATAGCTTAGATTTCAGTTCTGTCCAGTATCTTCCTGCACACATTTCTCTTTTTCATGAGTCAGAGCTATAAGATATTTAAATATTATTCTAACTGCATTGCTGTATTCCATGCAAAATCAACCGTATTCGTATGCAATGCGGGGGGCGGATCAAGTGTACAGTAATTGTCTGGTCAGGATGAGTACTTAGTCTAGATTAAGGGAAAAGTTTTGCCCTTCGTTTTTATTTTAAAAAAATGTAAGAATCAAACAAAAAGCCAAACATACCAAGAAAAATTGAAAGAAATAAGAAGGCCTTTAAGCCCTAGTCTGTTCAAAAGTGGAGTTATTTGAAGTTTTTCATTCGGAAACGTGCTGTTAATGACACATAAGAGGAGATTAACCAATGTTATGCTGAATTACTCTGCTGCTGTTTCTTTTAATTGTCTTGTTCGGAGACTTTTACTACATCTCATGGAAGGCTGGACACACCGAAAATCTATACTAAGGACTGGCGTAATGATACAAGGGATGAGAAAAAGAAAAGGCGCAGTATAAACAAAATTATTACCATGAAAGTGGTCACCAGCAAAAAAACAGCAAAATATCTCTGACTATGATACTGTAGGTTCATAGAGAGCATAACTTTGGATATTTGTGATAAAAATTAACAAAATGGTTGTCCTGCGAGTCAGGTGTGACTGAGGTGAGGTGTACCTATTTCACATCTTCAGTATACACAGTCTTTATAGCAACATGTGCACTTCAACATACAGTATAGGGTTTGTAAGCTATGTTTTGAAATTCCCAACTATTTTTTTGATGTTTTGGCACTTACGTGTCATACCCGATGTTGATAAAAGAGCTTGTAGTGAGAGATGGATTCTCTCAGCTAGGGTTTCCAGCAGCCTGGAACAATCAAACCTATGATGTCTGTTCTATTTTAAGTAGGAGAGACTTTTTACTCCCTAAAAAAGCAACACATTTATCAAGACATTCTTAAATCGCTTAAATGACAAGGCATTTGTGCTCACAGTGCAATCCTAGTCTCTCCTAATCTATCTGGATTAGGAGAGGGCAGAATAAAAAGCACCACAAGAACCTGAAATGCCCAATTACAGCAAATCAAATGATCAAAATAGACAAAAAAAAAGTATTGGACTAAGCAAGGGTTCAAGCTAGGATGTGAATTTTTAATAAATTGAAGACAGTCACCCTATTACCTACCCTTGTAGTACAAGAATCTAAATTTATTAATGTATCTGCTGTTTTTTGACACTGCCCTCATGTTTCAGAGGAAAATCCCCAATGGTGGGGAACAAAGTCTCCACCATTAAGTGAAATTTCACACATCTGACCAGATGTCTGTCACTGACCAGAATTCTTCCATTTAAAATATGACACAGATTCTCAGACACTGTTCAGCATTCTCTCAAACATGTAATTAAAAGAAAGATGGTGGGGAAAAAGCAGCTGTGGCACCCTAGGATGCTAGCTATAACCGTTTGTTTTTTTTGCTCAGTCCTTTAGCATGCAAAAAAACACAAGGGAAAACAAAAACTGGCCAACTACGCTGTTTACCAATACAATCATAAATGGGTCTTCTTCAGAAAATAATTGCCCAGCTCATTGTCTACAGTTTCAAAGTTTACTTGTTGCTGGCTTGATCTCTCTCTCAGCTCTTTCTCTCACGGATGCAACACCCTCCAGTGTATTTGCTCTCTGTGTCTAGTCTATAGATTATATCGGCACTTTACCAATCATCTTCCCCTGACAAAGAGCAGCAGACCATTCCCCAAAGCCTTCTGGGAAATTGGGTATCTCCATCTTGCATTTTCCTACCATTCTTCAACAGCGAATCACATGGGGGAAATTTGTCTGCTCTTCAGTGTCCTGCTCCAGTTAACCTTTAATTCATTTGCATATCATTCAAAATGTAAACATTCTAGTCATCATACAGACCCAAATAAAAATGGCTTCTTGAGACCGTCATGAGAAAACTGCACTGCAGAATATGGGTCTATACATCACAGTCTATAATCGGCTAAATAGTAATGGACAAGCTTACTTCTGATCAGTGACAATGTAGCCATACTCCTCCTTGGTGTGAGAGGACCCTTTGGCAAAATCCGGATCAGAGCCCCTAGAGCTTTTCTTTATCTTCTCTACTCCCTCAATGGACACACTGGCCCCCTCTCCAGCAGAGCTGCTTCCCAGGACCACAGAGGGGGTGAGGGGGGTGCCCGTGACAGCAGGCTGGGGCTCGAGCTGTGGAACCGGAAGCCTGTCTGAAGGTTCGGTCTCCCTCTCATCTTCATGTGTCATGTCCCCTTCAGTTACCTTGGTCTGTGGAGATATAAGCAGTTCCACCTCAGTACAGCAGCCTCCACTTCAGCTCAACTGATACATGTGTACCTGTCCATCAGACAGGCAGCAAAAAGCAATTTCAGCACCAAGAAACGCAGCAAGGCAAAAATCTGAACATTTTACTGAATGGCACCCCAGGATTAGTACAGTAGGTTCTTGACATTTGCGTGGGTTTGATTAAGAGAGCTATTGTGAATGGCCAAATTTGCATATAACCAAGTCCACTCCTATACCATTGCATAATGTACTACAGTATAGAGTATGTATAGTTAAAAGACATAGGTAAATAATCCTCCCTTATATAACAATTAAAGTACTAATAAATTGGCTTCAAGTTAATAAAAATAACACTGAACAACTAAAAGAAACAACAGCCATCACAAACCTATAGTAATCAGTTAAAATAAACAACATGAATCCCTCCTCTCCATCCACAGGATGCCTGCACTCTCTCTGTCTGCCTCTGTGATTAACACATCCCACTGTAATGAAGGGGGCAATAAAACTGTCAGTGAGCCTGTAAAGTTGTCTCCGGCCTCTCATTCCCCACACCACAGACATGGAACCGAAGTGTTTGTTACAATACAAAAACAAAAAACACTTGAGTTGCGGATGCTGTGTAATGTGTATGTGGGCAGTGGGCAGGGAGAGTCTCACTTACTAGCTAGATGTGTCTCACAATCCTAGTCTTTTCAAATCTTTGGTTCTGTTTCATCCTGTTCTGCTCTTATCCCATCAAAGACCTCGTCAGCCAGACCAAAGAGTAAATAAGGCAATTCAAGAATGATACATTTACAGATATTGAGACCCTACTGTACAGTATATACATATTTTGTCTTACAGCTTTCAGAAGGCACATTACAGTAACTGGCAATCAGTGTATTACAGTTTGTTGAAGAAATCAGAGTCCATTATATCTGGTATAGTTGAGAGAATGGTGACAACTATTTGAAAATTTTGGTGACTGGGTTCTTCAAGTACCAATTGTTGACCTACTGTAGCTAAAAACATTGGGTCATTTCATGATGGAAGGTAAAAACCTCCAGCCTATGAATAGACAGTATCAACACGCTGCACTTTGCAGAATGCTTTTCGATATGTGGAAGCAATCTCATGCACTTCAATCACATGAATGTTTTTATTTACTGCAGTGCTAAAATACCTCTGAGTTCATAGTTTTCTTCATTGATGGCTTCCTCGTCTTTGTGTACAATGATCCATTTTTGGAGGGAGGTGTTAATTTTAATTTTAGTTGCAAGAGAACAAAGAATCACGCAGAAGAATGCTTTATATTCTTGTTCCCATTTCCTGGAAAATCTTAGTGGTTTAGTTTTGCTTTCTTTAAATGAGGTCTGCACACAGTACATACACCTCTTCTGTTTTCAGGGGTCCGCAGACACCTGGTGTGCACGTATCCTTCTTTAAACTCTTGGCTGTTAAGCATGCATTGGTTTTCGTTGCTTGGATGATTCAGCTACCTGCTGTGCTGTCATTTTCTTGGCAATCCATTTCTTTCAAGCATTCAATTGAAATTGTTCTCTGGTGGTTCTGGATTATTGCTCTGGTTGTGGATGCTGGTGCAAACTGCATTTCTTTGACTCTGCTTTGGAGTCTTTTGCTTTGTTTCGCCAACTCACTTCCATTATGCTCCTGCACTACTTTCTAGCTGACTCTCCCCTTTGAAAGAACCAGCAGCTGATTGTTCACTATGTGAGCTCCTGGCTTTGCTCAGATTTTCACATTTTTCTCAATTAGGGTTGAAAGCTGCTTCTGTGAGATAAATGTGCATTTTTTTTACAAGGGTTAAGAGTGCTATGTGAGCAGCACGAGGCAAAATAACAATTGAAACAATTAGAAATTAAATGATCATTCCATCCAAAGCTGCTTAGAAAGATTGTGTGGAAAACTATGCATCTGCAGCTACTGCTACAGACATGCAGGATTTTGGCCTCTTATTTTTTTCAAAGGATGTAAAAAAAGAGGTTAAACAGAGTAGCAGGGCTGAAGAGTGAATTAGAACCTCCTACTAACTCACTCATTTAGCTGCTTGACCAGCAGGGTGCAAATGCTGATACATTTTTGTTCTTCGTAGTCGCAACATAATTTTTTCCAGTGGATGTTTGTATGCATAAGGCTAAGCAGATTAACACGATAAATAGAAAGCTACAGACAGACAGAAAGACAGAAAACCATTGCATTCTGAATCATCAGATTCCCTTCTGCCACGTTGTTTGAAGAGGCATCCGTCTGCAACTTAACCAAAAACCTCAGTTCAAGCCCAAGTCCTATTTCCTTTCTCCTGACAAGTCCTGACAAGCTCTCATGGCAATTTTACTGCATCAATGCAAAAAGACTCTAAATGAAGAGCCCAAGGCCTAGTCCCCTGCATTACTAATCACATACAGTAGCATCATTAGGGCTCACAGAGATATTCTAGAAAAGTGGTTAAATAAATGTTAAATGTAATGAGCATTCCATATGAGGGGGAAACACTAGAAACTGTGAAAGCAACTCTCCCAAACTGTACTTGCACCTGCTGGCTTCAAGGCTCTTTTTCTTTACAGTGAAACAGCTGCACATCTTTCACTACATTCTCAGGCTTCGACATTCTCTTTCAGGAACCCCGGGCTTGCCTGTAACCGATTTTGCCTTCCATCACATTTTTTAAGAAGTGCCACAATTGATAATGCGATTAAAACCTGCATGAAGCATGGAAACTGATCATTGTGAAAGCAGCTGATGCAGAACATACGCTATCGCTTGGATTTGCATGGGAAAGTATGTTGTACAAAAATGAACTTTTCCTCAAATATGTGACAGTCAGATACGTGACAGAATGTAGTTCTCCGTAGTATCTCTCCCTTCCTCCACTTCTACGCTTAATAAAGCAGGACAAATTAAAACACAATCTAATTGTAGTACTCAGTGGAAGCTCAAATCTTTTCGCAACAAACAGATTTTTCTAATTAACCACTTAAGAAAGTTAAAGAAATCAACAGAGGGGAAAAAGAGTGATACAATCTATCAACTCCATTACACAACAGTTTGAGCCATTTTCAGTTTTATGAGGCGTACATTCTAAAAACTGTCTTCATGAGGAAAAAAATAGGAGGACACTTGAAATCTGGGCATGTGCTCAAGGTACCAAACACCCAGTACCTTGTGTTGTGTGTCTTACAAAAATTCAAGGTCACTGAATGGATCAAACTGATGTATAGGGGCAGCACTATTTCTTTATTCTGTGTGTGAATTAATAAAAAGACAGTAGCACTGCCTAAAAGTAAAGAAATCTGATCAGTTAAAAAAATGTTCAAGAATGAACAGATATGGGGATTATTAGGAGGCCATGATTGGCAAAGGCCACTGGGAAATTTGGCCAGGACACCGGGGTTACACCCCTACTCTTTTGCAACGCCCTGAGATTTTTAATGACCACAGAGAGCCAGGACCTCAGTTTTTTATGTCTCATTCAAAGGACGGCGCCTGTATGGTATAGTGTCCCTATTACTATACTGGGCCATTAGGACCCACACAGACCACAGGGTGAGTGCCCCCTGCTGGCCCCACTAACACCTCTCCCTGCAGCAACCTGAGTTTTTCCCAGGAGGTCTCCCATCCAGGTACTGACCAGGCTCACACCTGCTGAGCTTCAGTGGGTTGCCAGTTGTGAATTGCAGGATGATATGGCTGCTGTCATTTCTTTAATGTATTTTCACCACGCCGTTGTGATTCAGTTTGTGCCACCAAACCCAGACAAAAACCTCTTGTTTCCATTTATCTCTTCAGATACTGTAACTATATTTTGTGTGAGGCTTGTTCCTGAAGCAATTCTTTTGCTCGCCGACAGCCATGAAAATATTGACCATGCTGAGGGCAAATGTGGAATACTTGAGATTACAACATTAAGACTTCTCTAATACTAGCTTATATTATTATGCTTAATTCTTTAGGACAGAAGTTCTTTAACCTGAGGTGCCCAGGATTCCAATGGATGCTGGATTTAAACACACAACGCCCACTTAACATACTTCAAAGGTGAGATCAACATGACAGATCAAGAAAGGCGATACAAGTGCCTTGGTTAGTATGTTTTTTAGGTTTGATCCGTATCCCACTCACCCTTTCTATGCAAGTGTAACAAACCACCACATATGACAACAATCAAAACCTTGAACTGGAACAGAGCTGTGCACACCTAACTACAGCTTGTCAACTGTCAACCTTGTCCTGCAATTTCTACTCATCTGGCTTTTGTTTTCAGATGCGCAGATCTTTCTGTTGGTAGTCTACCTTAAAATTTGCCATGACTGAATATTAAAAACATTTATTCTTTGTTAAGTGAAATGTCTGTTAGTTCATATTCTTGCAATTCTTTCCAAAAGTAAGTTGCAATAAATGTTTGATTTAACTTATTTGTACATTTATCAATCCTTAAAGCGCAATCAAAATTAATAACCACTTTTGGTGGGGGTTACCAGGTATTGAAGTCTAAAAGGGTTAAGAACCTCTGCTTTAGGAGTATTTACTGCCATCTTGTGGATGAAAGGCACAAACACATTAGCCAAAAGAGCTTGAGTGTCAACTTAAGGACAATTGGAAAGGTACTTACGCCATCTGACCTACTGTATCTAGCATTTTCATTTACCAGTAATCTATCAATAAAGCTTCAGCTTTCCGATGTTCTCCAACTGTTTTGGAACAGTTAAATCTGTGTTAAGTTTGCTTTGGAACTAATAAAATCTTTTGTTTGTATCTTCAAACTTACCTTTTCAATTATGACTGCTTTGTCTTCATAATCACCTAAAAGAAAAAAAAAGGAAGTTTAAGTAAACATATCCGGATGCAAACACATCCTCTTTGTATCAGGACTGCTTTTGGCCATTGGGATTTCAAATGTTGATAAACTAAATGTTCTAGGTATTTTATCTTAAGTTTTTAAACTTTAAATTTCTAAATATATCCAAATATTTACATTTGCAATTTTTTGTAGTAAAACTGTTAAAGTGTTGAACAGAAAACACTGTTTTCCCTTAATACATACAAAACCCCTTTCATGCCTGAAGAAATAAGGAGTAACTCAGTTCTTATTCAGGTATTTTTGGGTGTCATTACTTGATTCTTCAGATTCTGAGTGTTTCTGATGTCTATTGGTCTATTGGAACTTTCAGTTCATTTTCCATGTTCTTTCACTGCTTAGCCACATCTTATTTCACAGACTGATTCCTCTTTTTTCAGCAATGTGGAGCAAAATGACATGCAACTCGACTCGCCAACAAACTTTTACAGTGCCCAAAAACACGCAAGACATTCTCAAACCTCAGACACATAAAATTACATCCTCAAAACACGTGCCACTCTTTTTTCTCCTGTATTTGAACTTACCTTTATTGCACCTTAGGGTATTTATCTTGCATATCATGAATATCTCATAAACATATATGATAATAATACAACACAATAACACAATAATAGAATGTCATCAATTTCCCTTTGGGATCAATAAAGTCTTATCTATCTAATACAAAACAACATTCAACAACATTCCTGAATCATAACTCTACCAGTAAATGATTAAAAAACAGGCAATTATCTTGTAAAGAATAAAAAAGAAACATAAGATCTCCATCTGCTAACAATTTTCTCATTGTTCAAAAACCAAATGCTTTTAGGTATAAATGCTCTCTTAGTTTTCATACAGTATATGGGATCTGACATCTACTCCCAGAGGGTAGGAGAGTCTATTCAAAAAAGAGGGGCCATCTAAGATTTAATGTACTAAAGATTACTAATATGACACTTCATTAGACATACGTATATCCAAAAGAGCTATAAAGTAACTAGGTACTTTATTTCCAAACTAGCACCGCAAAGGTCTATTGAAGGAAATCCAGATCTGTTAGGATTAGCTGAGCACAGCAGTACAGAAACTACCTCTCAACAAACCATTTGTTCCGAATCCACAGCATGCATTAATGAAATTTAATCAAACAGAAACACATTGTGGTGTGTGTTCCAGGCAAAGATAAAAGACTTCACTGGTTTGAGAAAAAAAACAAACTTTTCTCTGTTCTTACAATGTGAGACACTTAAAATATAAAGTTTAATATTTAAACCAAGCCATTTTATTACTTTAAAACTGCTAAAAGAAAGCAAAAAAAGCTTCTGAAGCTACTGATCAATGACTGAATTGCAACTGAATCTCTCCATCTCACTGAATGTCCTTACACGTGTGTGAATCCAATATACTAATACAACAAGCTTCAAACTGTTTATGAACTATCACTCAGTCAAAACTTTACAGAATAAGGATTTCCAACTTTACTACTGTACTTCCATTATTCAACATTTTCCTAATTACCTGGCTAAATAGACAACATTAATGTGATCTTTGGCCAATGAGATGAGACATCTACCATACCTGAAGAACTGGAACTCATTAGGCAAGTATCACAGTTTTTAAAGATGCTTTTCCATTAACAACCAATTAAGATCTAAAAGTGTTGATTGACCTACCTCTGATATCACAGTATATACAGCACAATACAGTATTTACTAGGCTTAAATGCTAATTGGTAATTGTTAAATGTTTTTGGCATCATTTTGATTAACTGATCATTCATAACTGAAAGGTGACTTTGACAGTTACATAAGCACTACAACACCTAATTAGTGAGGCAGCTGATGTGGTGTGAGTAATGAGGCATTTTAACCTGTTGAAAGCTAAACTTGATATAAATAAAGCCAGCACAGGAACTAACATATACTGTTCATCATAAGAATAATGCCTTTATACCATTGGTATACTGGGGTTTAAATCCATGGATTGTTGTAAGCTCTCTTACATGGTAAGACATTACAGCCAGCCAATAATAGGACCTGGGAGACCACAATTCAGGACAATTGCAAGATTGATGTTCTGGAATGGAATGACTGTTGCAAGAGAGCTCCTCTTGTACTGATTGATGGCAATCTGATCAAGTCCTCATCAGCTGACATTTCTGCAGGCTTGTCTTGACATTACAAAGGAAGGTCCTCTTTCTGCTCATGTAAAGACAACATTCTTGTGTGATAGTTTTTATGCCAGGCATGATGTGGATGCTCTACGCACCAGACTTGAACCACTTTGATCTTTTGTGACAAGAGTTTTGATGATGTGTGGCCACTAAGGCTCAGAGACCAGCGAACAGCCACCTGATTATCCAGACTGTATAAGAGGAATTAGAATGCCACAAGGCAGAATCTGCAATCTGATAAGATACATGTCAATTGAATAAAAAATCCTGAAAACTATATATTGGTGTGTTTGAGTCTGCGTATACTTAAGTATCTGTATGCGATTCACTGTATGCGTTTTGTATATTGACTGGTACTTTTCTGTATGTTTAGATGGTGTAGTTAAGCCATTGATGGGAACCATTTTATTCGGAGAATTGTTTTGCTATGGGGTCTTCAGTCAGCAGTAAGTCCTCAGAAATGTACTGCTGTGTAATTTAGTTCAAAGCCTTTGTGACAAACAGCATCCACGACATTGGTTACCTGTGGTGTCCTGCGCCTTGTTCTGCAGCAGCTGCAGGGCAGTTAAGAGGCTACTCAGTTGCTGGTCACTCAAGTCACGGAAGTCGATTCCATAATTTTTCAGCACAGCTCCTAATTTCCTCAGGGTTGCATCTGCAATGCAGCAGGGAGACAGCAGCCTGAAGCACAAATGCTAGCAAAAAAAAAATCACACTTGGAAAAAAATGCACATGAAAGGCTAAAATGCACATGAAAGGCTAAAATGCACATGAAAGGTGAAGTTGTCTCCTTGTTTTCTTTCTCATTAAGGAAATTTGTGATCCCCACCTATTAGCAGATGATTTTAGACGTTGGCTTGCCCTGCACCTCATGATCACCAGCGACGGCATGTGACGCCTGGTAGTGGGAATTCTGGGAACAGACTGAGTATAAAGACGTGCAGAGGCCTTCATCCTGGTCTACTAAGACATCTCGGGTGACTGGCGAGGGAAACTTAAATGTGGAGGGGCCATGCCAGTCTAGGTGAAATACCGCAGTAGAAGATCTCACGTCCCACGTACAATAACTTGCTATAATGGCAAAGGTTATTATGGCTGTCCTAGAGTCATTCCAAAATAAGATGGTATTAGGATTTGATGAGTCTCAGGCAATTGTTTTGAAAGATTTTGCCCATGCAATTTGCAAAGCTGCAAAGGGGGAGAGCGCTAAAGTCTTGACTTAATCCCGACTGATTTGTTTTAGCATTTTTTTCCTAAACCGTTACATTACCTTGAGCAACAGTGCACTTGGAAGGCAAGGACAGAGGTATGTTTATATTACCCTGCATCACTTAACATTATATGAATTCATGAGGAATGACAACGAAGCCCCAAAATCGAAGCGTAACGAACTATTGTGGAGTGAATATTTGGCTTAACCCGCTTGGCTGAGGGCCGACCTCCTGGCCATAGGACGAGGAGGCCAGGACCCCCCCAGCAAGGTAACCAAGGGGCAGCTGCAGAGGTGGAGTTGGGGTGGAGGTGGGCTGCAAAAGTCGCACGTGAGGGAGAGAAATATCGCATTTGGTATTTATAGTGTTCAGTGGAGGAAGGACGAAGGGAGAGATTGCTAGTCACTGACGGCTGGGAATGATTGAACGTGGTTGTTGTCATCCCTCCTGAACTTTAGTTAAATAAACTCCATTAGGCCCGGTACAAGATGCCAAAACAGTGGTGATAAAACTAGAGTGCTAAAAAACAGACTGATACAAACAGCAAGGAAACCTTTTCCTCATTTGTAGATTAACAGGTATTGTTTGAGTGGGATGAGTAATACTCATTTCAGGGCATGACTAACCTGGGTGAAACTCTGAATTTGCTTTGATTAAAACCACTGCATGTCAAGGCATGTGTCAGTGCAGGTTATTTTGAATTGACAACAATACTTCTAAGCACAAGTTCAATCCATCATCACTACAGCACCAATGCATTTTGGTGGTATATTACTACATTTTCATTTTTATTTGGTCCTAAACAGACCAGTGCTGGCTTGATGATATTGCAAATGCTGCGTTGGCTCCAGTCATACCATTCAAAGAGGAGAACGAGCTGTAGTCCTGAGGGATCTTCTTATGTTTTGGCTGCCTCGTTTCCTCAGAGCTCTGCCCATAGTCCTGGTTATAGTCTTGTGGGAAATCGGGCTCCTCGTGAAATGAAGAAGATGTTGTCCCCTTCTGCTGGGGGGGCCGTCCAGTGGACAGGTAGAGAGAAAGGAGGTCCTGGAGCAGCTGGCGGTCTCTGTCACCAGGACGGTACCCCCCAGAGCGCGAGGAGGGCCGGAGATAAGCGCCACCTACAGAACTAAGGGGCCTCTCATCCTCCTGATAAGCATACTGTAACACAGACAAAACAGGCAAAAGACAAATATCACACGGTTATCTTGATATTTCTAATCTCACAGGGTCATTAGAAATTGTAATATGAATGTGAATAATATATCAAGTAGTAGATCAAGCCACGGTACCATCTAAGGTGTGGCATTCCGTGTTAAGAAACTAGAAACGGGATGCGGTATTAACCCACTTCAACAGAGCATCACAGAGATGCATATGAATAAGAGAAGTGTCCAAATGCAGCATAAGAAAGGGAGGCCAACGTGTTATGACGAGGCTTGCGGTTGCTGACAAGCTGCATCCCACAGGTAGGCGGGGAATCCAAATGCTGGGGCACGTTATTTTCCGAAGGTTAGCAGAATGTGCCGTGGAGAAGTGAAAAAGAGCTGACCATGGGAATACAGACTGGATCAGGAGACAGGGCAGGAACAGGCAGGGAAGAGGCTATGGAAAAGGTAGTGGCAGGGCAGGATTCAGGCAGGATTTTGGGCCTCCGGTTTTGAGTTTGAGAGACCGAGGTTTCTAGTCAGTCAGGTGAGCTGGTAACTTTTCAGTGTGTCTAAAGTCAGGGCCGTGTGAAGCAGGACCTCAGCAGCTCAAATGACAGAGCACCTGTCTTGTGGCATTTCAGGCATTAAATAGGAAACCTTTAATTAATTAGAGGACTCAGTGACTGTATGGTACAAGGAAGGCTGAACCGACAGGTGGCCCAAGCATGGCTGATTTGGAGACGCAGGAGAAATACGCCTGCTCGTGGGAATGCGCCAGTCTCCTGGGCAGCCATGGGGCTGTGAGCCCCCGCAGGTTTGGGTGTGATACCGTGAAGAAAAGCTGCATTCTAATATACAGCAGTAACCACTACATCAACCCAGAGCAGTGTAAACAGACTGAATGTGAGTAGTCATAAGACTACTCTTAATGATAACATACTGTAGTAGCTAGATTTTTTTTGGGGGGGTGAGGAGAGAGTTCATAAGCGAGATATGTTTCTAATTATCATAACTGGCATCCTAATAATGATTATAGTCTGGAAAACTAAGTGACCAGAAATCAACACTTCAGACAAAGCAATCTTCTGTTGCTCTTTCTTTCATACAGTATTGAGATTGATAAAAGCAATTGCGAACACCAAACGTATTAATACATATAAAGAAACAGACGTCAGTGTGCTTCTGGTAAGACCGGCAGCTACTTGTGAATTACTTTTAAGATTTTTCTTCAAAGAAGATAGAGAGTTGGTGGAGGAGAGACAGTGAGAAGAGTGTCACGCAAAAGGACCTTTTTCCAGTCTGTTACATTGACCAGATTCTGGCCAAGTAGTTTGAACTTTGTTTTAGAGAGCTTGCTGTTCCATTTATTTCAGAAAAATCTGATTTTTCTTATTGTGGAATCCTCAGGCTAAACACATTCTATCCTTATTTGGTATATTGATCCATCTTTACACTGGGGAGATAGATTCGCTTTCGCTTTAGGGCATCCTTGGTGAAGGAAGGAAGATGCAGTCTCAGGCTGTATTCTTTTATTTAAGATTCAGGGTAGTCTTCTTGTTGGCCAGTCAGGGTGTTGCATAGTTTTTCAGGTTATAGAGCTAGCATGCTTCTGTATATTTCTGGGTCTGAAGAACATAGGTCTCTGAAACAAAGTTTTAGATACAGTGCAAAGTTTTATGTTATACTGTATGTAGTGTAATGCTTTGTCTCCTTTAGTTATTTTATAGTTAATATCGGTGTGTTTACCATTTCTACTTTTGCCCAAAAAAATATACAGAACTCACATGCCAAGATTCACCTGCTTCAAATTATTACTTACCACCTGACTACATTTTTTACATTAATACATATAATTTGTAAAAAAAAACTCATTTTCCTGATCCCCCCTATTTTGCAACAATATTATTACAAAATATCTAACATTTTTCAGATCATTTAAGTTATATGTGTTATATGTAAATTATACTTACAAAAGCCAAAGCCAAAATTTACATAGAATAAGAGTCAAAGCCATAATATACAATGTTATACTTGAGAGCCTCTTAGAACTGAAGCGGATGTTCAATACAGATATGAGATTTTCTTACAGCTGTACTGACTGACTCTCATCCGTCTTACATTCACTCCGATCTCAATGACCTAGTTCCACACAACTAAAAAACAATACCCAAAGGAGAGCAGTACTGTCCCTTTGCGGCTTCTGCTGACCTGGGGGTAAGAGTAAGGGCCAAGGAGCGGGGCCTGCATGCGCACAGAAGCCTGGGGCTGGTCAGAGAGAACCATGTAGTCAAGGTAACGCTGCATCAAGGCAGGATTCATCCGGTCAGGCCCAGGACGAGACCTGGAGCTGGAGTAGGACAGCTTCCCAGAGGATTGTGCTGATTTAGGAACCCTACAAAAGAAAAACTCATAAGAAAACCCTTCTTCTCTTTATACCTGAAAACCATTGTTAACCAGAGTGCCTCTGTTATTAACAGTGCAGACTCAGGGCAACCCTTGTATATATATATATAAGCACATACAGAGATGCAAAGCAAATTAGTGATATTCACTATTATTAGTAGTATTCAATATTAATTTAAGATTCATTTAGTTTAATGAGTATTATTCATAACAAAAAAACTGAAAATGTTAAAGTGGCCAATTCATTAAAAAAAAGATTATATTTATTACAATTGGAGATTTAACTGCTAGAAGGCAGCTCTAATATATTTTATCCATTGGATAATCTGACTTGAATTAAAAAATTATAGGCAATTTTTTGGTATCACTATATTATCTATCTTAACATTTATATGGATCTTTTAGCTTTGTATATGATAAAGAAAATACTGAACTCGGAACACCCCAAGAAACGATTCAAATGATTAAATAAAGTATGCGGGCTCAGTGGGTCGCAGACTTCATGGGTATGTTTCACCAAATACTGACTTTTACAATCTGAAATTGTTGACGATTTTTAGAACGAGTCAAAAGAGCAAGGTATTTTGTTCTGAAGGCGTCTGAAAGCCTTTTGAAAATTTTTCAAATGGAAAGTACTGTACATTTTCAGAGAATTTGCATTAAAAAAAAAACATTATTAAATGTAATGTACTGTATACTGGCCTGTGCCAGATTATGTTTTAACCAAATCTCAGAGACCCCATCTCATGGTTAATGCAGGGATTGTGTTTGCTGCCCTGACAAGGCACAAAGTACAAAGTAAAGTACATTGAGAGAAACTACAGTAGGATTGCAGATGTACATTTGAAATGGACCCTGCAGTGCAGAGTCCATCCAAGGAGCAAGATGCAAAACTCGAAGGACAGAATTTTAGGAACTGATGCATTGTGAGCACATGGACCCTCAGTTTGAAATATGTGCTGAGCTGCCAGAAATCCAGGATGGGATGCATGTTGCATGGAAACCATCTGCTGTATTTCCCTGGTCCATAGGCCACTGGCCAACGGAGAGTCTGTGGTGAGGCCATAGAAGCACTAAGGACTTCTGGTAAAGCAGCAGGCTGTAGACTGCTGTTAAGACTCCTGAAACCCCTGATGTGTGAAAAAATCTACTAATTAAAACAGATTTGAATGCCAGAGCGCCCGTTTTTTCTTTAAGATATCTGCTGACAAGAAACAAAATTCTGTTTGAGCATGTTCGTTTGCAATAAAAGTACAGATCGGAAAAAGATGTGTCCATACAGTATCATTTGCAATCCAGGAACATTCTGAAAACTTTTAAAGGGGCACTATACTGAATACTTTTGCAAGGCACTATACAGTATACTACTCTTTCAAGTTACCGGTCGCTAAACAAATAAGTTAATAACACCACTTCAAATGAAGTTTACCCATAACACGTTTTGGCTGTGACCGTAATCTTCTTTAAATGTCCACAGTCAGTTCCCAGATTCCTTTGTGTCTCTCTGTGAGCCCAACCTGGACAGCCCAGGCATATAATGGACAGTCCCATTACACAAAGAGGGCAGCCCAACAAGGGGATATAACAGTCTCATCTTACTCTTTGAGACCTCTTAAACACAGATGTCATTGTACCTATATTTGGGGAATCCAAAATCTTGTACATTTTGGAAATGTTATGCTAGTTTTCATCTTAGAACCATTCTGTCTTCTAGTCCCAAACAAAAAAACACTGTATTGTTACTGGGATATAATTGATGACCATTTTGAAAATCATTTTAAAAAGCTGAATAATTGAAATGAACTATAAATGGTAAACATATAAACATTTATAGTACTTAATAAATCTTCAAAGGACTTGGGGCGGAAAACAAAATTCAGTTTCATAAGGATTCCTAGCCTATTAAGCTAGAAATAACTGGGACAGCTAGTTGTTTTCTAGTCCCTAGTTCAAATGATAACCTTGAGATTGTTTGGAACCCTTCCTCTTTGCAAACTGCATGAGGATGCGATGAACAGCTCATCGCTCACCTGCCTTTTATCTTCTGCGGGTTCTGTCCCAAAAAATAAAATGATTTGATTAATAAAATCGATTAATAAAAGGCTTAAAAATGTTAAATGTCAAGTTCCAGGACAAGGGATTTTTTTAGAAGTGTAACCTCAATCTACCCCCATTTGGATCCTCAGAAAGGCATTAATTGAAGCATGTGATTCAGGACCTCACTGTCAATTTTTTCAGACAACTCCAACTCAATCTTTACTTATATGAGCTAAAATAACCGTGACTTTTCTCCAGCCAAGAATCCAAAGGAACGTTGCACCAGGACGTTGTTACAGACAAGCACAGGAAACTTACTGGTCTAAAAAGGCCTCTTTGGGTGAAGTGGAGGAGTAGGTACGAGGGACATGGATCATCTCTTGGGAAATGATGTACTGGGTGATGTCATCCTGCCACGACAAGCCTGAGACCAGGGAGAACAAAAACCGGTATTAAAAAGAAAAGCTGCTCTAAATCAAAATGGCATGAGCAAAACACTGTTAGACTGCTTCTTTGAAATGAGGTTTGTAAAATCTCCCCCGTCTAATTTGGATTGTCTAGTTCAAATTACCATCAATGCAAGGCAGATTTCTGACGGTGCTTCCATCTCAACACATAGCCAGATCCTCTTAACCAGTTTATCAGCCATTAAAAGTGTCTTTTATCTTCACAGCCCTTTTCAATTTGTCAATCTGACCGTACTATGCAATTTTGAAACAGATTACACTGCTACAGTACACTGTTAAACAAACGTGAGAACAAGCCTACTTCTGAAAGCTGCTGAATAGTCACGCTCTCCATTAGAGCAGCCACAAGAGTGCTAATTTCATTAAAACACAATCAAAATCTCTTGAATGCTCAGGGAGATTGGTTCAGCATGAAACACTCAGAAACGTTTTTATCATCCCAAATTTAGCGAGTGAAACAGGATGGGGAAAATCAGAATGTTCCTTCCATTGTAGCAGATACAACAATTATTACAAATTTAATCAGCTTGAAATGTTATTGTTTTTTATTTTTTTAAAAAGATCATACAAAGACTTATGAAAGATTTCTGAATAGATTTAAAAAACAACCAGTTTTCAGGGTACTCAGTTATCTACTGGGCAGGCAGCATTCAGTTTTATCTTTTCTTTGTACTGGTCTCAAAATGCTTAATAAACAGAATTAAGCCAATATGTTAACAAATGATTTAAATGTAGGTAAGGACTATCTGATGAAACAACTCACAGCTGATATTTTAATTACTGAGAGCTGTGTATTTGACTCTAATTGTGATAATTCAGTGCACAACTGGAGATTGCAGACACAACCTCTTTCCCTGTAATCATAGATATTCAATAATAAATTTAAAACAGATTCATATTTGCTAGATCTGGAATGATACCTCACTACCACTTGCTTAAAGTTTCTCGAGTTTTCACTTACATCCCTGAATGTCCACAGTATTTACAACATACAAACAAGGCATCCCAGAGACCTATGTCCTGACCACCCAGAAAACCCCAGACTGTTACCAAGTAGTCAAATCCTCTGTAATGCAAACAGAGGCCAACAGAAAAGATAAAGCTGCCTTTTAAACTAACAGAATACGATCTGTGGTTAAATCTCTCTCACTTTAAACCTGGATGCTACAAAGTGAATGGGAAACCTATCTCCCTAATCTAAGAATTTGTTAACTAACCAGGAGAGGCCGTTTTTAACCCAGGGATTCTCTAAACAGGAAATCAGAGTTTCTTAAAAACAACAGAATTGCAGGATCTTTTAACAAGGTTCAAAAACATAATTTCAGTCTGGTCATTACTGATGATCTGGACTAGGACCCATGTTTTATCTTCTGTGTCCTCCTGTCTTCTCTGTCTTTTTGCCTCTTCACATGTCCTCCCCTCTTCTCTCTCATCTCTGCCTGTTTTTATGCTGTGTTCCTGGACTGTTGATGACTCTTAATAATTTACGAAGAACTTAATTAACTAAGGCAAACCTTAGGATTGCTTCGATCTATGAATCTCGGACAGCTACAGTACATCTTAGCAAACATCTCCTTGCTTTGAGTCAAGAGAACTGGAAATGTTGACAATGGCCAGGTGCTGACTATTGTTCCTTAGATTATGACACCTCAATATCCAGCTCCAATAAATGGTAACAGGGTATTCATCAAATATACCAAAATACACAGTGAGTTGGACACAGAACTTAAAGTAAAATATATGAAGAAAGGTTGAGCAGCCTTTAAGGGGTCATAAATAGTTGAGAGCAGTTCGTTCTGGAGAGGGAGATGGTGAAACTACAGTGGTGGGACTCTCACAAAGACAAAATACCCAAGTTAAAATCCTCTCAGAAATTCAATTTTTGAAACATCCATGTATGTAGGACTGGCACATAACAGAATCCATAAAACGGATTAAAGTCACCTTCATGACTACAGCCCCAGAGCACCATTATCCCAAATGGGAATATTTCCCAACTTCCATCCATCCATTTTCTAACCACTTATTCCAATTCAGGGTCATGGGGAACTGTCATGGGAACTGGATCTGGATAAGCAACAGGCACAAGGCAGGGTCAATCCTGGACAGGACGCCAGTCCATAACAGGGCGGACAGACACACACACTCGCACTTAGGGGCCATTTTTAAGAAGCCAATTAATCTGCCACTGTGTCTCTGAACTATGGGAAGAAACTGCAGCAACTGGAGTAAACCCACACAAACACAGGGAGGACATACAAAATCCATGCAGATAGTACCTCAAGACTGGCATTGAACCCAGGGCCCCAGAGCTTCAAGGTAGAAATACTAACCACTGCACTGCTTTGCTTCCATACATCTGAACTTCTTTACCATTACTTAAGGTGAGTGGAAAACAAAACGGTTTTCACCAATATGGTGTGCAAATGAAAAGCATGTAATGTAACATCAGGCACCATTGCTGCTGCAATTTTTACAGCAAAAGTTTTTCACTGTATTTTTCATACATCTTGGGGTTTTTTTATCCATTAAATTATTACACACATACACATGAAAAAACGTGGTCAAATACTGTAGGTGAATCAAACATACTGTATAGAAACTGTGCAGATTTGTATTAAGCAATACACAACTGTGTTTTTCATTTAACACAATCTGGCAACACAGCAGTAGTTTCTAATTGTCTGTTGAAAGCAAATACAGCTCATGCCCTTTCTAAAGCACAATAAATTAAAATAAAAATAAAATCCAGCACAAACATTCTAACTGAGAATGAAACTCAAACAGACAACTAAACTCTATATCTTCACGTTTCCAGCTAGTCACAGTCAATAAATATTTTGAAAAAATAAAATGCTTAAATGTAAAAGACATCTTGGCATGAGACAGAAATAATGGTGTTGTGAAGAGTTGGCATTATGGCACATCTGGCCAAACAGCGTTATCACAATATTTACAGTGCCGTCAAAATAATTCTTAATGGCATCGTTCTCATGCTTATTTTCAGGAGGCATAACCATAGCAACAGATACCTCACTTCCTTTTCTCCTCAGCCGTGACACATTGTCAACACAGCGCATTTCTTCAGCAATACAGCTGCTTTCCTGTTCTTTTCAATGTGACCCACTGATCATCCCTGCTTTACTACAGTCTCTTCTGGCTCCCAATCCAGCCGACTGCTAGACAATCCGCACATCATTATTTTTTCCACAGTCAGGTATCCCCTTATGTTCCAATTCTTTGTATTGCTGTGCATCTGCATTTTGGGCATTTACTTTTAGAAACAAAAGTTGCTTCTCCTCCAACACAATACACAGCAACAGCAGCTATGTCAAGTATTTCAAATATTTTTGGACTAACCCTCCAAAGCCTTTTCATTTTATCTTCTGTTTTTGCCACATTTGCAAAACACAGGGGTATACTGTATACTGTATACAGAATTCCAATAAAACCATCTCAGGTGTTAATTTGTCTTGTGTAATGTTTTTACGTGGCAACTGCACAACAACAAAGGTTGAAAGTCATGAAAGCAAGCAACATGCTATGAGGTTTTTGACCAAACCCAACAAAACAAAGAATTGCCAGATTTTCGCAAAACATTTTGTGCCTCCATCGCGACGTATTTGCTTAAAAAAAACCTCCAGTAGAAACACAGAAATCTAGAATATGAGCTCTTGCTCTCTGTTAATCTCAGAGCCTTTTGAACCAGGCTCGTTTATCTATTTCCTCTGTTACTGGAGCTTGATTGTCAGGCTTTTCTACCAAGGGGTCAGAACTAAGTGTACTTAAAGTGCTTGAGTCATGACGTCAGCACCACAGACCTGAGCCAGCACTGGGAGCTGCCTTTAGTGTCCTTGTGCTCGGGGTGTTACATACCCTGCATGGTGAGGTGCTTCAGGACTTCCTGCAGGCGGTGGAGCACAGGGACAGACACTTCATACGTCACCCTCTCCCGCACTGAGGAATCCTGGCACTGCCCGAACAGGCCATCTGGAACGCACGAGGAAAACACGGTCAGGACACACATACACGTGCCACACGTACAACGCACCGCACACGAGGCGGTCCAATAACGCGAGCGCAGTCCGAGGGCTCATTCACAGGTCCGAATTCCAAGAGCGCTTATCGCCGGCTGATCTCATCAGTGCACAAACAAAAATAAAGGCTACATTTTACCCGGGTTTTGTTCTTTAGGCTATACGTAGACACTTGATTAAATATTTATTTCAATTATGTAAAAGATTTTAAGGAGCAACCTTCTTTAAACATTTTACAAGCGCCTAGGGCGTGACATTTTTATCACCAATGGATCAACCGATTGGTTCCCTTTCTTCTTAATGCTGAAAAGTGTCGGAACGAGCAGACAAAAAGAGCGCTACAGTACTGAATTGTATATTTCCAAATCACTTGATCTAATTCAGGCAGAGACACTGCAAACACAGAGAACATGCAAACTCCACACAGAAATACCCCCCCCCCCCAGGAATTGAACCCAGGGCCCCAGCACTGCAAGGCAACAATGCTCAACACTACGCCACACACTGCCCATGGCTGTATTTCTCTTTCCAAAATTCCATATCAAGTCAGTGCTATTATTGAATTTGGTTAAAGGTGTCAAAATGATTATTCATTTCTTCCAAGTTACCAGTACACACAGGAATATCGACCATCTTTTTATCACTGTCTTCCATAAGGTTACTCAAAATGACATCAAAATCATGCTAAGAACAGGCACTGAAGTGCTTGTTGCCAAGTGGTTTCTTTTACTTCTTTATGTATTATTTGTTTGACACAAGGTACAGTATGAAGGTTAACTTGAATTGTAATACAAGTTAGCTGAGAGCTTCTAATCGACGGCTGCATTATCAGATAGCACCAGATTTACTGTCAGAAAAACAAGCTTCACTGACATAGCCTTCCCAACCTGGTGAAACAGTAATTTCTGAACCGTAAACAGCCTAAACCACCACTCCAAGAAGTCAAGGTGACGGGGAGCACAGTCGATTTGTTGAGTAGCACTCTGGGTTGCCCGGACAGGTGGGCAGACAGACAACAGGACATTCCAAACTCTCCCGGTGAGTGACTCATCTCTTCAGCGCCTGAATCCACTGAGGGGGAGTCAACTGGCTGCTGTCAGCCTGCTGATGTCACTGTTGCCAAGGAAACCCTGGCGAAGTGCTGGGAACGGATTGAAGTGCAGCAGGTGCCTGAGAAAGGCGACCCAGTGTAAACACGGCTCCGGCCGTTGGTTCCTGATAAGTCCTAGACCTCAAAACAAAACAAAATCTCCCTAGGTCATATCCTCGATCCTGGTCACCTGCTCTAACTGCCTTCGTGGCTTACCCTCGGGTTCAGTTTATCATGCCTCTAAATATCTCTAAACAGCATACCGAAAACTAGTCCCTTTGAGAAATGTCCGGCTCCACATACATACAATACCAAGGTATCACCTTTAGGGAAAAGCAGTCCAAACTCTCTATGGTCGAAAGAGAACTCTAGTCTTTTTAATCTTCAGAATTTACTTCTAAAGAATAAACCTCCCTGACTTATTGTATATCAGTAAATTTGGCATAACAGCACTGTTAATGTTTGATTCCATAGAGTATTTTTTGTTATAAAAGAGCATAACAGCCCTTACAATTTTAAAGAAGGCATATATATATCTGTTTATGTCCTTTCATCGGTGTCTTCAACCACTGTATTTGGAGAAGTTTAAAAAAAGGACTGAATTTAAATTGTATCAAATAACTTTGCAGCTGTACAGTTCAACATTATTTATAATACTTTGCCCCTGTTTGATAACCTTTCTAAAAAGAAGGCACTTTTGAAATAAAACAGGGTTAAAAGAAAAATAGACAGAACACCTGGTGGTCTTCAACAGGGACTAATAAAAAATCATTTTAGCTTTTTAATTAAGAACACTTTGATCAACTTGAGTTTTTAAAAACTCTGAAGGTATTCACAAAGCCAACTTAAACCATGCCTTCAAGCTAAAAAGAGAAACAGGTCAACACAAAAAAGTATACCTAATAGTGAAAATGGGAAGCATTTTATCATCAGAAAAATGTGGGTGTATATGTATGTTTGGAACTGTGTGTATATGTATGTATAGATTTGTATATATGCATGTTCAGATTTGAATGTTCATAAGCAAGCTACACCACAGAATGAGGTCAGAACTTTTCCACAGGGTTATAAGACTGATTTTGGATGGAAGAAACCACCAAACAATACTGTGAAATCAATAGCGTGTCTAAGCTGAATGAATCTTGCAACCTGACATATGTTCTGTGATCTTCAAATGTGTTATTTACAGTTTTAAAGTTATTTATAGTTTTATTATTATTATATTATTAAGTTGCATTTATTATTTACAATTTTCCAAGAGGAACTTGTTCTGTGAGCTACAGCTCATGACATGCAGATCTTGCCTCCCAATTTTGATTAATTATTTTGGCAGACAGGGACAAAATGTGCTTCATTTTATTGACCAGGAAGATGAAACTCAGAGTTCTCTTTTAACTTACTGATACAAACTACATTTACAAAATTCCGATCACATGGTGTTCCTCCCTCTTTTATAACTATTAATTATCATCTCGGCAAGGTACGTTCAAATTCAAATTTCATTTAGTGCACGTTTTAAGTGACATTGAAAGCACTGAGGAAAAAAGCCTTGAAAAGTCTAATTTTTGCTCCATTTCTGTTCTTCAGTATTAAAGAATGTGCTCTATAATCAAACCACATTCTTGCTTGATCTTTGTGATATCTACTAAATGAAGACATTATACAGGGCGTATTGAGATTCTGCCTTCCTGTACATGTGCGCAAATGAATAGCAAAGCTACCGTCAGCATCAAGGGACCAATGTAGCTGACAGTAGACAATGGCAATGAATGTAAGCACTGCCTACACAGAGCCTTGAAGTGCAAGAGGGAAACTGAAACAGAATGAGTCACACTGTCGGCTCCCACACACAAGTTTAGAGGTGGAGTTTATACCTGCTGGGGGAGACTCGGGTGTCTTGATGTAGCCGTGCCGCATCCTTAAGACAAATTAATTAAAAAGAAAAGACAGCAAGATTGTATCTAAAAAAATTTCAGAAAATGAGCATATGTTCAGTACGGCAACTGGAATGCCCGATTACATTATCCACTCCCGTGTACAATTTGGGTATTTTCTCCCTGTGGTGCCTTTGAAATTACAGGAGGAATGTCAGATGAACAGCGCTGAAATTGCAATGCAGCACATAGAAATGTATTTAAATTACAATACATGGGAAGCTAAAGGTAAGATAAAGGTAAGATAGACTTGATGTATCTGTAGAAAATCTTTAAAAAGGAGGGCAGCAGAAACGCATGTAAAATATTACAGAATTTCATACATACATCAGGCTTCAACAACTACAAAAGAACTTGACTCTGCGTAACCATGAAGCAGGATAGCCCATCTTATTGCCGTCTTCTTGAGTTCCTTCTTCTGAGGAATACAGTAGGTACATTTTTTGGCACCTTTGCAATGCAGGTTCATTTTTCTCCTCACGTTGTCAAAAAGGCAGGTATTGCAAGCTCCTGATCCTCCATATAGCAGTGTGTTTGCAATTACGTGTTCAGAGGGGTGAAGGATGGGAATTTGTGGTCAACGCCAACTCATATGTTAATGTCAGTTTGTCTGTTTGACTCTCAAGTATGATGAACACCACTGTCACCTAATTGCAGTCTCTTCACTCTAAACACGAATACTGTAAAAAATAACTAAAAGGCTCCAGTCGTTATGGAAATATCTGAAACAGATGCCCACTTCCGAGAATCAACTGTGATAAACTTAACTGTTTCTTGTAAGACACAAGACAGTGTAAAAAGCAAAGCAAGTTTATCTTGTTTTGAATTGTCTTGTCTCTTTGCAGTTACTCTGTAACACGCATTGGAATATTTCTTTCAAGTTTGGACTGGCAAATGTTTGGAACTGTATACTTAAATTGGAGAGGAGTGTTTTGGTGAATTTGTTTAGCCCTCAAAAATGTAAGTGTACCTGTTTTGTATGGTGAGTAAGATGGGGTATTTCCTCCCTATTTCTGTGACTTGGTCTACAGTCTACAGTCCCTCTCAATGCCCAGTTTCCATCTCAGTGACACAGTACCATGTCAGATTTTGTAGAGAATATAACAAATATTTCAAAAGGTTGAATGCTAGTAGCTAGAAGACCACAGAATCACAACTAACAACCTTTTGACAGTTGGGATGTTTGTTCCAAGCACCATTCAAGGGGCTTTTTGTTCTTTAAGTGAAGAGCTGTCTTCTA